CGTACATGTAATCCTTGTGGTTCACCTCCTCCCATCTCTCCGCCTCCCGATGACGCAACCTCCCAAGAACACGAACTGGCGTGGGCAAAATACCTATCGGTCGCCTACCACCTTCTGGTTTCTGGAGGAAGGGGAGGATGAGCAGCATGATCTGCTCAGGAAGACACACGAACTTCTCCCACATGTGCAGCAGGAGTCCAAATACACGAAGCCCGTCATCACACAAGGACTTCAAAAGTGATGGCGGCCACCTGCAGGCCCCCACCGCCGTACGCTTCGTAAACTTCCCAAGAACTCGACGTAATTCCTGAGGCTCAGGTGGCTCTGAAGGGTCATCCATGGGTAAAGACTGTATAAGTAGGGCCTCAAGCTCCTTCAAGTCTCCGTACCTCCAAATACCCTTCCATTCACTTTCGAGTGCCTCTATCTGGTCCATCGCGCCTCCTGGGGTTCCATCGGGGCCTGGCTCATCTGGGATCCACTCGTTCGGGACCTTCACCCACCTATGTGCCATGCTCCCCCCGTTTGCCACCGCCTCTGAAGCCCAAGATCTCCACTTCTTTTGACGATGCCTAACCCAAGAAGCCTCCTCGGACTGGATCAGCTTGCTCAACTCAAACAAGGCGCCCCTGATCGAGGCCGCCCCATAGCCCCTGAAACTGAAATGACCAGCACGCCACTTCCGCCAGCCAGAAGAGTGCCAGAGCAGCTCCGGAGCCTTCTGAAGTTTTTGGTAGATTTCACTGACCTGCTTATCGTCGTCGTCGTATCCCTTACGCTTGAGGTGCCCCAACTCTTCTAGGCGCGTGTGGAACTTGCGCATCGCCCTAGACACTGGAGACCCAAGGGGATGTGGCCCGCCAACCTTGACAATGGCCGGTTTATACACGAACTTAAACTTGTCGCCTCTGCCGAACAAGTTCCCCTTGGAGCCCGACAGCTCCAACTGGTGCGTCTCTGCGAGCTCTAGCTCAGCTGCCTGGCAAAAGGATGCATAAGCCTGCGAGACCTGAGCTTGCGTGACTGCTGGTTCTCGGACCAGCTGCTCAACCTGAATCTGAATGCCTTCCCACCAAGCTGGCGGGGCAGGCGCAGGACCGATCGGAAGATCAGGGAACCTCTTGGGCGTCCACAAACATCTGATCTGGCCAGGGTGAGTGCAAGTCCTGATCGACATTCTGATGGGGTAATGGGTAGACAGTTCGGACCCTTCCAATCGATCGCAGCGCCAAACCCAGGGCACTAAGCTCGCCGACACAATGAAGAAGTCTATCTCCCGCCATTCCTTGCCCACTCTGCACGCAGGCTTTCCAGTCAGAATTATGACCCCGTCAATTTTCTCAAGCAACCCAGTGCCCCTCACCTCAGATTCCAGCGCGTTGAAGTCGCCCCCAATGACGAACGGCTTTCCCATGGAGAACAGAAACTCCCCAACCTGGAAAAGAATGCGGCGGCCCTCGGCCCCTACACCGTCCCCGCTCGGGAGGTAAACACTGGCAACGTTAAAACCTCCCGCGACGCAGCCCCCGACCCAAGCCAAGACGGCCCTGGAATGAGGTCGAGGCTCCGAGGGATTGCTGCCCATGCCTACCCCCTCGCGGACGGCCAAACCTACCCCTGCTGATAAACCTTCAGACTGGGTCACATCACAGGTTCCAAAGCGAACATTCCATCCTACTTTGGCCAAGGTGTTCGAAGCCTGAGCGGCATCGCCTACCTTGACCTTTGTCTCTTGAAGGAAACAAACTTGTGACTGGCATTCCTCCTCTAGAAACGACTGGCACCGTGGCCAGCTAGTGACATTAGCTGAGACAAAATCCCAACTCAGGCCGTCAGGAACCACACGAGCGTGTCGGTGACCTGCTGCGGTTGTCCCTCTTGCCAGCCTCCTCTCTCTCCCTCTCCATCTGCTCTTTGACTTTATCCAACACGGATGTGACGCACTGCTGAGCGCGTTCATCTCCATGGAACTCCGACCGTAGCCCGCCTCCCACTCGAGCAAGGGCATTGTCGGCTCCCTCCATGTGCGCATCCTGCTGGGACTCGTCGACCTCGATGACCGTTGGGGGGCCTCCACTGCCTCGGCCACGAGCAGCATCAGCACGAGCTGCGCGACGACCCTCAGCAAAGGCTGCATTCTCCCCATCACCACGTTTCTCACGCCTCGGCCTCGCCTGGCCGCCCCCAGCGGAGGCTGGGGCGCCTGGGGCTGGGCCGCCAGCGGCGGGAGCGGCAGCCGCTGCCGACGGCTCCTTCGCCTCCGCCGCTGCCACTGCTGCCTCCAAGGTCCCGCGCATCGTTTCGAAGGCCTTGCGCAATCCTTCGCCAGCCTCCCCCTCGGGGATCGCTCCGACGAAGGCGTCGAGCGCCTGCTGCATGGGCTGGGCGATCGACGCAGACGGCGCCGCCGCCTTCGCCTCGCCCACACCGCCCTGCGCTCCCAGCGAGAGCCCGCGGGCCTTCGCATCCTCGA